TAACTACGACCCCGGGGGCATCCCCCACACTTGGCGGTGCGCCCAAGCCAGCCCTTCCAGCCAAGGGTCCATAGCAACTGAGACTGGGTGTCCCCATCTCATTCACCACGTCCTTGGTGCCACTTGCACCAAAGTGTTCAAGTTAGATATGTTGAGCCACACTAAGCAATCTAACTGTGCATCACGACTCCGGGGCATCCCCCGCTTGGCGGTGTGCCCAAGCCAATATCCTTATTGAGAGTCCATGACCACCGAAATATGAGTGTCCTCATATTCCAAACCTTCACCATGCCCTAATGATTTGGGACTCAAACCCAAGCACTAGAGGGTCGGGACTTGAACCCAACCTCCGTATATGCATCTACGGACAGCATCACCTAAGATGCCTAGCGTGACTCCCCACGCCGGTGCACCAACTTATACTCAAAGCGCGCTATAGATCACAGCTTAGGAACCTAGTTCCTCCCCACTGCCAAGTCCTCTCACTTGACAAGCCTGTGATCATGCATGGACTCCTCCATGCTTGGCCCCATAGCCCACCCTTTTTGAAGTTATTACCTTCAACTAGGGTATTTGTTCCCCTGACTTGCCAATCTCGCTTTGGCAAGTCCTCCGACCACTGTAACATGGTTCCTGCACAAGCGTGAAAGCCCTTGGTCATCGACTTTCGTTCAAAGCCCTCTCTTTGAACACTCAGGAACTACTTCCCTAACCTTGATAGCCTTGCCTCATGGCAAGCTTCAAGACCACGCTTCTGCTGCGCCACTCTGATTTCGCGCGTTCCTTGAACCACTTACGCTTGGCCTTTCTAGATACTAAGTTACCTAGAATCCTCTTTGGGAACCTTGAAGGAACTTTGTCCCTTAGCTTGCTAAGGCCTCCCTTTTTGCAAGCTTTCCAATTACTATATAGTTTAATATGGACAATTCCATATTTTAGACTCTCCATGGCATCACGGTTGTTAGCAGCAACACCCTCGAGCCCCCACTTGATTTTCCACTCCCAGCTGGCATAACCAACCTTGGTTATGCCCTTCGATTCCTATGGTTCGGTTCTATCCCCTTACTTCTTGCTTTTGGCTTCACACCTTTCCTTCGGTCATTCCCCTCCAGACCAGGAAGATAGCTTTACACTTTCTATCATGCCTTAGCAAGTATTCTTAGGGATGAACCTACCCAATAGCCTAGGGAGTGGTTCCTCAATCCAGGTATGCTCACCCTATAATCCCACACACCGGGATTACGTTGTTGCTTACGGGCCTTTGCATGCCCATTGCTAGCCTTGCCAAAATTCCATTTTTGGCTTTGTCCAATTCGAGTAGACAGTCTTTTTCTGTCTCCGCCACCTTGGACATTTGGATAACACCTACTATCCATCATTTGCTAGGGACTTAGTCCCTTGGGCCTTATCTACTACCCTCGCGACATCAAACACCACCTTCTGGTGTTCTAGAGTGTTTGGGTGTCCCAATAACGGCTTCCTTAACAATGAGTATTTCCTTTTATGACATTGACTTACTATATCGCAACATAAGCAACTTATCCCCCGTAAGGGTATATTCACTTCCCTATGCCATTAAGAAGGCTTGGGTAACTACCTTCTACCCGTTTAACCAATTATTTTGCACCTCTTGCTTAGTTGCCTCGTAGTTGTCAAGTCCTACAACTCATTGCTGGTGCTTCCACACCTCCATCATTATCTGGGTCACCACACTCTAACTACATGCTCTGCAGCTTAGGCTATGCCATTCCCATTTCTATTGGGATTCCTTTGGCAAGGGGTTCTCTTGAACTCACCAACATAGCCTCAAGGTATCACACCTTGGCACATTTGGTGTCTCCACACCATCAGCTTCATGAGCCTACCTCTATGACACTTCTTCTTTGTGTTTAAGTCTTTGTCAAGACCAATACCACTCTTTCTCATGCCAACCATCCGTTAGCACTACACTATAGAGGTCACACACAACTTTGTGTCAAAGTTGTTTTCTTTTTGGGAACACCTTTCCCACGACTTTAGCATGGCACATTTTGCCATCGATGAAGTACCCTCTGTTCTCATCCTTGGATCCTATGATCCCCCCCCCCCATCCTTCGTGGGGTACAACACACTTCAGTCCAAATGCTTCCATCAGTCCTTTTAGGACCATCCCTTGACTCTACTTGAGTCATCCAACAGTTTTGGACTTGGTTAATCCACAAACCTGTAAGGTCCTACTTGTGAGGCACTAGCTCACTGGAATACACTTATTGCATTCCTGTCCTACTCAAAAGGACTATTTTCACAAGTGTTACTCTGACACTTGATTTTGTTCTCTGGGGCAACCTTTGCCCTTTAGGACTACTTGTCCATATGATGAGAATACCAACTCATCTCTAAGTACACCCCCCAACTCCTTGGATTGTTCCAGCATTTATTAAAGGTAGCTCCGGCTACCATTTCAAGGACTTGAGTCCTCTCCCGTATTTGACCTCCCATGGTCATTACCTCTAGTCTCACATTTATGAGCACCAACCTCAACTATATAAGGATAATCTTGTGACTCCTTTATTGTTTTGGAGTCTACATCTTTCCCGTGATCCCAACTATAGTTATTTACCACAACTACGTTAGCCCGTTTGCTGTGTCAAACGCTCATTTGGATCACATCCTCAGCTCTCTGAGGAGACCTTATACTGTTCCCAAGATCCCAAAGTCATTCCATTATTGGCCATTTTCTATCCACCACATTGTGCCCAAGTTCACGCATGAACTTGAGTGGAGAGCCATGTCCTCTCGACATGCTACTCTTCCAGGATAGGCCCACTCCTAGGACCTTCCGATGCCAACATCAATGGTGATATACTTGAGCACCAATAAAAGTCAGACTAAGGAACGGCTCCGATACCAAATTGTAAGCGACTAAATTTTCCATTCTACTTTAGTCACTTAACCACACCTCCGACCACTTGGAGGAGTCTCAATCACAACCTCCATAAGTCCAATTCAGGACTTGGGACTTGCTAGCCCCTAGAATGGCATCCATGCCACTCAACATTTGCACTTGGTCCAAGTGCTCCACGTGTCAGATCCCACGACCGACACTCAAAGGTACCACCGACATGGCAGCCTGTTACGCTAAGGCTATGCCCAATCACCTTTGCCACACTGGTAGTCCAATACCACTTGCATCACAGTCTTGGCTCTCCAAGACTAGGCAAACCATCCGTGAGTGGTCATCTCAGATCCACTCCTTAGCATCCTTAGGATGCCCACCAACAAGGGGAATAGCCTTCCCCAATATCCCTCTGTCAGTCCCCACTAAGTCCCTTTCTACCCCTGGCCGTGTTTGCCGACACTGCCACTGGATCGAGGCCCACAGGCCCGACCACTAAGTCCCATGGTCCTCTGGGACTTCCTCACCACACGACTGTGTCCTTATTCACTACCCCAGAGGACTGCTCCTCTTCCTTTCCACAGTCTGGGCCTTTGGGACAACATTTCGAAACACCGTGGCCTTACGCGAGCCACCTGGGTACTCTCCCCGCCTTCCGCCTTTAGGTGCTCTAGCCATGGGCTTAGAGCGAGGTTCCGTTGAGCCACGACAGGTATCCAAGTAGGTAGTGCCACCCACACTTGGACTAGGAGCATCGGCCAGTCGATCTCCCGGAGGAACTAGAGCCAGCTCTTGAACACTTCACGAAGCTATCCCACTTGTCGGTCCGTGTTCACTCTAGTCTTGGACTTCCCAGTGGGCAGCTCATCACCCAACACTGGGTCCGGCCTTCCTGGGCCAAACTGGCCTTTCCTGGCCAAACTGGCTCCACTGCAGTCCTCCCCCTACTATACTTTTGGAGCTCACCAAACCCCCCAGGGTCTGGGAGACGAACGCTTTGGGCTTTCACCCTCTCAGACTCGAACTCGGACTCGGACTCGGACTCGGACTCGGACTCGGTCTCGGTCTCGGTCTCGGCCTCGGCCTCGGTCCTGGTCTCAGTCCCGATCTCGGTCTCGGTCCCGGTCTTGGTCCCGGTCTCAGTCTCGACTTCGGACTCCATCTCGGGTCCATCTCGGACTCCATCTCGGACTCCATCTCGGGTCCATCTCGGACTCCATCTCGGACTCCATCTCGGGTCCATCTCGGACTCCATCTCGGGTCCATCTCAGACTCCATCTCGGGTCCATCTTGGACTCCACCTCGGGTCCATCTTGGACTCCATCTCGGTCCATCTCGGACTCCATCTCGGACTCTATATCGGACTCCATCTCAAACTCCATCTCGGACTCCATATCGGACTCCACTTCGGGTCCATCTCAGACTCCATCTCGGACTCCACTTCGGGTCCATCTCGGACTCCATCTCGGACACTTCCACGTGTCATGTGTTGGTCCTTTTTGGGTCCCTTTTTGGAGCCTTGCTTATTGCTCGCGTCGTGCTCACTCCTTGAGCATTTTGTTAAGAGTTTCACTCCTGCTCTCAACCTTCCAAGTCGGAGCTTTTAGTCCAAACGTGTTATGCTCGTTTGGCTTTCGCTTCGGCCACTACCACGTGGCACCCTTTCCGGCTCCACTTTGGGGCCTAGGGATTTTGTGTCTCACACTTCACTATATAAATTTCTATATGGTTATGAGTCAATACTACCAACAAAGTTAGGTTTACCTTCACAATTGCTACAAGTTGCCAATGCTAAGTCTTGGGATTAATATTTGACAAGCATTCTTCCACTTATTCGAGTAGGTTCTAACAAACACTTGGGCTATATACAAGTGGGACAATAACAACACTACAACTCCTATTATTGTTCATTTATAGAGTACAAAATAAATGACTTAATGTTAGTTTGTTTTCCTTATCTTATGGTATGTGGTTTATCTAAGGGGTTCCTTGCTCAGTGGAAAGGACTGTATGAAATGTTGCGGCAAGTTGGATTGCAAGTTTATAAGGTTTAATATGATTTCCAACAGGTCATTCCTCTAGAAATTATGCATGTGCAACAACTGAGACACTTTATACAAAGGGATCATGAACTGGCACCACCTACAGATGCAACAATGTCCTTTTGATGTTCTTCCAGATCCCGGCCCATCCACAAGAGAACTCTAATAGTCTTCCATCATTCTGAAAGGAGGGGATGATATGAGGTCCAAATGTACAACTACAATGCTATATATTAATATTAGTGTAGTGGGATTTTGATAGTTGTTGGATTAATTTCAATTCAGACCACTCGCTCTTGTATATAAGCTAAGGTTTTTGGGTTAATTGATATGCACATTTTTGTATTTTCTTTCCATATTTCATACACTCACACACCACACTTTTGGTAATGGCATAAATCTCAAAAAATTTGAATAATGAACCAAATGAATATAGATTATATATTGTTAATTATATGAGGCACGGAAAACTTGAGAATGAATATAAAATAACCACAAATGTTTTATATGAAAATGTTTATTTTATATTAATAATTATATGTTTTTATAATTCTTATATTAAAATTATAACTAAGATTATCTTAATTAATAAAGTTTAGTCTTATTTATATCTACATAGATATAATACATATTATAGAAACCTCACAAATGTATCAAAACATTTCATTCAAAGATATTTTGTGAATTTTATCATACAGTTTAAGAAAGAACTTCCTCCATGAAATATGAGAGGTTTGGACTTCTTTCTTTTAGGGTTTATTTATTTTATATTATACTAACATTTTTTTTCCAGCGAATAGTTTAATTTCTTGTCTTTGGCTTTTCACTGATTTAGTTTCTTTTATTGCATTTTTGTAACAAGATATGAAATATATATAAAATAAACCCCACCAAGTTTATCAAAACTTGTTCAAGTTAAAATTAATTTTATGTTTTCCATGAGCTAATTGCTAAATTATATATTGTTATAAATATCTGATACATAAAAACATACATTATTTTTTAAACTAATGTTATTCATTAATCATGAAATATATTGATATTATTTGCGGTTAATGAAAGTGTTTATACTTAATGCTTTAGAATTACCCACCACCACCACATCCACCACCACATCCACCACCACCACCACCTCCACATCCACCACCGCCACAGCCACCACCACCACAACCGCCGCCAGCACTAATACCACAGCCACCAACATAGGAGAAACCATCATTGTACCAAGAATAGATTTCACCACCAAGACCATCATGGTCGATCTTCACGGCACCTGTTAAACAATGCACTTAGAATTTAGACTCGACAAGCATACTCTCGTGGCCCACCCCAGTGATCTTGATCTTCTTCCAAAGCTCTTGGTTTTGCCCACGGAGGAATTCCTTTGCCAAGAATATCAGACACGGACATGCTTATGGTTGCGGAAAAAAGGAGCACAAGTAGCACATCCTCGTTGGGATCAATCTATACACTTAGTTTGCTAGAATGGAAAGAAAAAATGGAAGAAACTTCACCTCCATGCCACCGGAGCGCCAGTTGATGAGCGCTGTTGCTTTCCCTTGAGGTGCGTCGCTTGTGAATCTCACCATTGTCACAAAGCATGCTTCCATTTGGTCCGATGATCCAGGCACAGAAAACTCCAAGTGCCGACCGGGAAGAAGCGCGATCTTATTAATATGCAAAAAGAGATAACTCGGTTAATGATCATGTTCTTCGAACATGACAACTTACTGGACAGTCCTCGGACTTAATCTCCATATTCAAGCTCATTCCTGGTCTCGTGTTCCACTGCTTGTCACTCGCGTCCTTTTCCACGACTAAAACTATGGCATCGTCCAGAAGAGACCACCTTCGTGAGTCCTTGGATGGTCTCTCGAGCTGCCTTGCAGATCCAAGAACCTCACCTAGGAAGAATTGAGAAAAAAAGAAGAGTGAAAACTTTGCGATCGTTGTATTACCATCAACGGAGTGGGAGCCTTTGTATGTCCGATGAACATTCACGACTTTATCAGCGTCTGCGAGACGTTTACCTCCTTCACGTTTGTATCTAGACAGCAAAGGAGAGATCGAGCGATTCATGTCATCCACAAAAAAGAAAAGCTTGGCAAACTCACCGGCAACGAATGACGAAACATTCCTTGTTGGCATGATCGAAGACAGTCCTTGTTATCCACACGCCTTGAGAACTAAAACTGCTGCGAGTGGCTCCATCTTCTCCAGTGTCTCTCACTCTCACGCTTCTCAAGAGATAATTCGCAGTGACCGGAGGAGTAGCGGAGATATAAACCAGCACCGACACTTCTCGGTCCTTCTTTGTGTCTTGCATTGGAAACCAGCCGCCAAGCGACTGCGTCTCGGAATCGCTGAGGTTTTTCCACGGAATGACGAGTCGTCCCAGCGTTTTGGACGTGAACATCCCCTTCTGCCGAGCTGTGATCACAAGCCCCTCGGTGGATAGCTCGGGTGTCATGGACGAAACTACATTCCTCGGCGATGAGCCTTCGCGCTTTTTGCTATGGAGCTCAAAACTTGTTTGCTTTAGCATGCTGAAAACGAAAGAGACGCTGCCATCCTGCGGTAAACCTTTGGAACCTCGCACGGAGAGACGAACCTGCGTTTGAACGATCAGTGATTCATATCGAACTTGCAAAAGTTCTGACCATATACCTGGATAGTGTTCCTGGCTTTCAGTGAAACCTTGGTTCTGCAAGAGAGACTCGCGAGCTTGGTGGGATCATAAGCAATCGTTCCCGAAATCGCTGCTGGCGGCTCCCCTCTATACATGCACCCTGCCTTCTCGTATGGCAAATCATATAAAGATTCCCACAGAGAAAGAGTTTTTGCGAATCCTTTGTCCAATTTTCCTCCGGGATCTCTGTTACTGTCCGTATCATCGTGCTCGAAGATCCTTCCAAATAACCGTGTGAGGTCGCTGCTGTAACTCATAGGATGAAGTTGATGCGTGTGCCATATCAAATCAATGTCGTAAGTGGGAACTAAGAACACCGATGCTGCGGATGTGTGTCGGACGACGAGATGGAGAAACGCCTTGTATCGAGCAACCGCAGCGCGTAAGAAGTTCTCGTCAACGTAGTGCGGCCCGGAAACCTGTTATAGGTATGGCGATGAGTTCCGAGTTTCATAGGTCTAAAAGCAAACCATCACGTACCTGATAGTAAAACTTTTTCTGCCTGAGAACCGCATCGGCCAAGTTGTAGGAGATGCCACTCGATCTTCCGGAGTACGATGGTCTAGTCAAAGAGATTTTCTCTTCGCCAGAAAGGTCGAGTTCATACGGTTCATCTGGAAAGCTGGAAGTCCAAGCAACCATACTTTGTTGAAGAGCATTCTCGGACTTCTCCAGGCAAGGTGCGTCCACTATTTTTCCAAAAAGTCTTTGGCAATCCTCGGCATATTGGATCTACTCCAGCGTACAAGTATCAGCAATCTGGTGGAAGTATCCTTTTAAAACTCACTGGATTCAAGCGATGGCAGTGCCAAATCCATTCGCAGTCAAGTGGTGGAAGGAGTCTTGACGAAGAACTGGCTAGCAATGGAAGACAACAATATTGGTATCTAGTTTTGGGAGAGACAAAGAAAATTAATCACAAGCTTACAAAGTGTAGAAGATATACCTCTCAATCGCTCTGTTTAAAGCAGGCTCCTCAAAAAGCTTGTAATTCGCGTGTACCACCGATAGAAACTCCAGGTGAGTTCTCGCAGCCGCTACAACATCCAAAGAGAGTGAAATCTCTTGAGCGCCGGACCATTCGCGATTCACTTGGGGCGGCGATGCTGCCATTGGTTTGTGAGTTCGCGAATCGAGAAGAAACGCTTAAACACAGCAATGCTTCTCATCTCACGAGAAGAAACTTCTCTATAGATCTATTCAAATAGATCATGGCCTAGTGGGAAAAAAAGAAGGAGCGAGGAACTTATCTAAGTCCACTCTGAAACAAAATAGGTCGCACCTTGAGAAGGCTTAGACTCCTTATAAATCATCCTTGGAACGACCACCTAAACAACATCAAACAACATTTTAGATTTGTCCGGAGATCTTCGGCGCAGCTTTGGAAGATGATCCAGACAACTCAATCCACGCCTTGGAGATTAGCGTAGAAGACACCAAGAAGACGAGAAATTAGACTGGCTCTTGGGGAAAATGTTATAATTCATCTATTGAAAGCTAAATTGTTGTAGCACACGCATCAGGGTTGTTTGATTGGATAGGGCATGCTCTGCCCTGATCAGAGACTGAAAACATAAGATCAGTGGTATATCAGATGCCGACGACGACGACGACGACGTTGAAGGCAAGCACGAGGTAGCTGCATTTCCGGTGATTATTCTTTGCTTCTAGCGATCATTCTCTTCCAGGGTGGATTCTAGCATTGATCCGATCGATAGTGATACCACGTCCGAGGTGACTCTTTCTTCTCCTCTCATTGATATATTTTTCTATGATGAATCCTTGAGCAAGCTTTCTGTGCAAGAGCTTCCAAGAGGTTAGCAGCGAGGATGACGATCTTCCAGCAGAAACCTCGTCAAAGTTCTCTTCCATGTCGTGCTTAGCATCTGACGGCTTTTCTTTTCTTTGTTTCGTAAAGGTTTGAAGCGCTCTTGGCACAACTGGGAGGGCGCCAATCACTTGATCTCAAACATGAAACCAGCTGGTATGTCTTTCCTTGTTTTGTTCTCTTGACATGATCCTTGCTTTAGATGGTTCTCTCACTTGGCACATCTCACATCCACGAAGTGCGAGGTTTTAAAGTCCTTTCAAGTAGTCACCGCTAGTTTCGACAGCCTTTCTCCCAATGTACAAGTCGTATGTGTTCTATGCATTCATCCTCCATGGTGAGCAACATTACCGGCTGTAAAACAATCTCTCTAATTCTGTGTTGTTTTCACACGAAGTGTAAAGGACATGGAAGAGTACTTCTTGCTGCTTCTCTTGGATTTCCCTTGAAGGTACAGTTGTGCATTTAAACTATCTATTTCTTTCTACGTTTTGTATCAGGGGAAACGTGGATGCCGAACGACAAAAGCAAGTTCGACTATCCTGCCACGCTAGTCAATTATCTGCGAGCCTCGCGTGGATTTCAAGATCATTGGCGGTCACTAGAAACTAGAGTGAAGTATCCAAAATCTCTAAGACACATACTTCCGAACACTCTACGCATCCTTGGAAGAGTCAAAACATGCAGCTTCTTCCCGCTTCAGGCGAGAGCATTTAAGCATCAACTCACAGACTAAGCAATGGCATCGCTTTCTGGGAATCAAGTGAATGAATGGCTCAATTGCCAGCTGCAAAATCACGTTTCTTTGGCTGGTACATGCCAGCTTTAAGCTGTTTGAGAGGGCAGTTTTGGACAGGTAAGATATTTACTTGTTTGATCTGGTTTGCTGATTTCTTCTTGGATTCTAAATACCAGTACTACTGCCTTCCACTGCTAACAAATTCTTCTGGAACCTTTGTATTGCCACTTGATTGCAGCTGGATATGGCATTGCCATCCCTTGTGGCTATTCATTATCTGTCCACTGCCAATTTACTAAAGTGACCTGTTTGACAAGGTTCAATATGCTGAGGACTGTAAGAGATTGTTCAGTAAAATTGTGGATGGACCTTATTTGGTGAAGGGCGAAAGCGATCGTTAACAAAGTGCCAATAGTGCCAATACTTGTGCTCCAAACTTTCTAAATAAGCATAGATTATTTTTGAGCTCATGAGTTGAAGAGTTGAGTTCATGAGTTGAGCTCTAAATTTCAATTATATTTTAATACAAACATTATAAACTTTAAAATATTAAAGTTATGGCAAACATAATAATTTCCATTATATAGATAAAAATATTCTAAAGGACACTTTTTGTTTTAACAATTTAAATATTTATTACATGCCATAATAAGGATGTTTGTTAAAATATAAAATAAGATGTAAATAAATCATTTATTTCCTTATTTTTTCAATTTAAATTTCCTTTGTAAACCTTGAACTCAACTTTGGCCCACCTCCCAATCACTACCCTTGCAGAGTGAAAATAAAAATATCATTGAAAAAATCTTGACAATCTTGTAAATATTTCTAGTAAGCTTGAACTGCATTACTATAGACTTGCAATGCTTAAAGCTAGTTGAGAGTGCCAACTTTGAAATCACATGCAATTTGGTGGTAATACTATGCAAATCTAATGAAAACTTAACATATTATCCATCCATGGAATAGGCATGTTGTATTTCACCATCTTTCTGTTCAAAGTTCAATAGACCTGGACATGGACAGCCAGGGGGGACCTGGATCTCATCGGCCTCCCTGACAGCACGATTGCCCAGCCTCTCACAACGTTTCTGCTGCGCTCGGAGGAGTTTAGGGAGCAACGAGCTCAAGAGAAGGCCGAGAGAGTAGGGCGAGGGGGGCCCCTAGCTTGGATTCACCAGTTATCTAATGCCTCCAGCTGGAATTGCCCAAAAACATGTCTATAATATACAATGCACATACCGTCGTTTTTTTTTACAAGCAGAACAAGAGAGATTTACTGTAATCAAGCAATATATACGAAATCATATGTACATGATTTTGTTTCAGATACCAATGCTACCCTCATCCCTCCTCTCAATTTTGAGCTCATTTGGCATTGCCATCGTTTTCTTTTTCCTAATTTTTCCCTGTTGCTAAGCATTCAGACTTGACCAAATCGATTGTTTGAAACCATCGTGGATTCACATCCTCACAAACTAGATGAAGCCTCTCTACACATGGGCAGCAAAATTTCCAGACAAACCATATGAATTTTAGATAGTTGTGGCAGGGACATGACACTCCATTTCTCTGCTCGATCATAGGTTAAAGATCATGACTTCAGCTCTTAGACAGGAAAGTATCTCGCTTCCCCTTTAGATTACGGGTAGCATTAAAGTAAAGTTGTTGGGTTCAGCGAGAATATGGCATGCATGATCTCGGCCAAGGCAAAGTCAAAATTGCCAGCCAAAATCTCCTAACTTGCGCCTACCGCAAGAGAATCACATTACAACCACGCGGGAAGGCCGGAGAAAAATTCCAGCATCTCTGGATGTAGTATAACATCCCCTTCTGGTTACGCAACTGTTAACGAAGAAAAGAGAAAGAAAGTGTTTAGGGCTCCATCCCTCCTTGGTAGAGTGTAGATCTGGAAAATTTGGATCGCGCTCGCTCAAGATGGATTGCAAGAAGGCGCTCATCACCGGCATCACAGGCCAGGACGGCTCCTACCTCACCGAGTTCCTCCTCTCCAAAGGCTACGAGGTCCACGGGATCATCCGCCGCTCCTCCAACTTCAACACCCAGCGCCTGGATCACATCTACATCGACCCCCACATCTCCGCCGCCCGGATGAAGCTCCACTACGGCGATCTCGCCGACGCCTCCGCCCTGCGCAAGTGGGTCGACGCCATCCTCCCCGACGAAGTCTACAACCTGGGCGCCCAGTCCCACGTCGGCGTCTCCTTCGAGAATCCCGACTACACCGCCGACGTCGTCGCCACTGGAGCTCTCCGCCTCCTCGAGGCCGTCAAGACCCACTGCTCCACCACGGGTCGCCAGATCCGCTACTACCAGGCCGGATCCTCCGAGATGTATGGCTCCACGCCGCCGCCCCAGGACGAGGCCACCGCGTTCCACCCCCGGAGCCCCTACGCCGCCGCCAAGGTGGCCGCGCACTGGTACACCGTCAACTATCGCGAGGCCTATGGTCTCTTCGCTTGCAATGGCATCCTCTTCAACCACGAGAGCCCCCGGCGCGGCGAGAACTTCGTCACCCGCAAGATCACTCGCGCAGTCGGGCGGATCAAAGTCGGGCTCCAGAAGAAGCTCTTCCTCGGCAACCTCAAGGCGAGCAGGGACTGGGGATTCGCCGGTGACTACGTCCAGGCGATGTGGCTCATGCTCCAGCAGGAGACGCCGGATGACTACGTGGTGGCCACCGAGGAGTCGCACACCGTGGAGGAGTTTCTCGAGGAGGCGTTTGGCTACGTTGGTCTCGAGTGGAGGGAGCACGTCGAGATTGATCCTAGGTACTTTCGGCCCACCGAGGTGGATAATCTCCGCGGCTCGGCGGCCAAGGCCAGGAGTGCGCTGGGATGGAAGCCCAAGGTGTCGTTCAAGCAGCTGGTGGCCATGATGGTGGACTCGGATCTGGAGAAAGCACAGCGTGAGAAGGTGCTTGTGGAGCACGGGTTTATCGATTCTCACCAGCAGCCGTAGCTGCTTTCCAGGTTTTCTTGCTTGTTCCAGGTTTGCTCTCGTTTGTTTTGCTTCCAATCCGAGAGTCGGGGTGAGTGAGTGGAGCAAATGAGCGAGCTTTGATCCGTCATCTTTCTTTTTCGATGAATTCGTGATCACATCCAATAAGTTTTCTCTTTTCCAGCAGGGCTTCTTCCTTTGCGCGAGAATACTTGCTATGTAAAAGCTACAAGCCGCAAGAATATAATTTTCTCTGTTTCACCTTGGCAAACATGTAGCTGGAGTCTTCCGTTACTTCTCCGAAAATAATAAGAGAAAATAAGTGGATGATCTTGCAACTCCTTTATGCCGATGACATTCTCCTAATTGCGAACAACCTATGGCGTGCAATTTGTAAAAAGGTGGATTTTACAATGGAAACACAGGCATAGAATATTTTGCGAATATCCAATCCTTATGCCCCGGATGGGGCATCATGCCCATAACAATGACCCATGCTATGTATGGAATGGAGCCATTCATGGCGCATAGACCCATTCATCCCATGCATTCTAGCAAGTTGTTAATGTTGCAAACCAAATGGACAATTGACCAAATTGCATACTATATTACTTTATCTAGAGCACTATATTCTCACATCTTGCTCTTGGCGCTTATGGCAAAAGAACTGAATTATCCTTTTTTGGCACACCTTTTTTAACATAGTGTTCATAGCTAGTGTAAGTGAATTCCATTTAGCTCCATTGCAAAACCATAGATATATATTGTTTGGAGTTATGTATTTAATGCATCCTATTGAGTTTATCCTTCATTACCATTGATTTCTAGTGTAGCTCTCTCAACACTTTAGTTTTGTACCATGATGCCTAAAAAATTTGCATATGACTCAAAAGTAGGTTAAAGTCTAACCAATTCGATGAATTGGTGGGGTTCATACTTCAATTGTGTACTACACAAAGGTGCATAGTGTTGATGTTTGGGCCTGGAATTTTCTCAAGAGGAGCATGTTAAAGGAGATTTGAGAATGTGGAAGTTGCAATTGCATGTAGTAACATTTAGGATAACAATAAACACTTTCAACATTTTCCAATTATAATTGTTTCAAATTGGACCTGGAGTTCTCTCAAGAGGAGCTTGCTGAAGGAGATTTGAGAATATGGAAGTTGCAATTGCATGCATTAACATTCAGGTGAGAAGAGCAATTACAATGGACACTTTCAACATTTTCTAATAATAATTGTAAAATTATTATTAATTTTGAAATTTGTAAAAAAGGTTTCCAAGCATGAGGCAAAACTATCCAATGTATGTTGTGCGTTGCAGCCGAAGAACTAAAGTTTTTAGAGATTGGAAGCTCATGCTCACTTTGGTAAGAGTAGATTTGTGACAGTTTCCTATATGCTCTAACCCTTTTGCAATATTTGAGGTTTCTGGGTTTCCTCCTAGCATGGCAAACTAGAGAGGATTCTATGACTTCTTTGAGGCATAACAATGGATCCAACAAGGGACAACACCAAGGATTCTATATGATGCCTCCTCTCAAGGCTCAACAATCCCTCCGACAAAGAAGCCCAAAATTACTTCTAATGTTGTGCCAATCACCGAGGGGAAAATTTTTGTTAAAGACAGTGATAGCAAGGGATATATTACTGCTTGAGATGCAAGAAAGGATGAGTTCATAAACTCAGAGGGTGATTTTGGTTTTACCATGAAACAGGTTAAAAGTTCCTCAACTGTCGATGGGCATCATATAACACCCAAGCTCGATAGTTTTGACCTAGATCCTAAATTGGGAGCTGCTTTGAAAGCTATAGTGATTACCCTTGGCATAAGCTAAAAGGGTACCAAGGGCTAATGGGCATTTGTGGAATATTTTGAATTTTCTTACCTTTAGCTTTGCTAATAAATTGGAAAGAGTCTCTTTCAAAGTGTGAAATATATTTCAAGACAATTATCTATTTTTATTGTGAAAGTGTCTAGATTATGGTACTTCCACAACATTAGCCTAATCCATACAAGCTCTCTGGATTTTGGAGTGCCTTGTGTTTGGTCCACTCCATTGATGGGTATGTTAAAGGGAAGAAAACTTCTCATATGCATGTGGAGAACCTGGGAAATTGAGTAGATGATGTACCTTGTCTTTCAACTTGGACCCAAATAGGCTCTCCCAGTTAGAACTCTAGAGAATCAACCGCAAAGTGATGGAACTTGGATAACTCTTTCGGGCTCATATCTATAAAATGTTCAAACATACAAGAGTTTTAGTTGTTTGTGAAAGTAAATAGTTATCTCGAATGATGTCCATAATCCAGCTACGGAAGTTCTCTCCAAAGTCCTTATCAAAGATTAAGCAGTTGATGAACTCCGTGGGAGGAATAATTGTCTTTACCTAGAAGACCTGTAACAAAGCATTTGTCCCAATGAATGAAAGCCCACCTAACAATGCTGGACTCTTGTAAGGCTTCTGATGAGCTTCCATGCGTATTGAGTGTTGGAAGCCATCTTAGAGTAAATTTCCCATTACATTTGGCTCGATGAATAGGTAACGCCACCGTAGCCACGCATGCCTCCATAGCCTACTCATAACCTTCATCAAGTTTGGTGAGTCTAGACTCAAGTATTGTGTTGTAGTTGGTAATTGCAAGGTCCTTTAGGATGGAATCCACAGACTTGCATTGATTGCCCTCCTTCTTTAGGCTTGATGCACCTTGCAATTGGTTGAGTGCATTCCAAATATGTGGTGTGCATGCCTTGAGGTCCATCTCATACAGTCCTCCTCGGGCAAGTCGTCAGTTATTCTCGTTTGGAACCTCTCTAGTTGCAATTGCCAATGTTGCAATTGTACACCCGCGAGATACCTGTGCATTTGGATGCTTAGAATAGCAACCATCCTACAAAGATAGCTTGTGCATATAAAAATGAGGAGCATATAAAACTTATGCTTTACACTTAACTTACCACATCTTACTCTTCTTGTCGCAACATCCTAGAATGCACTTTCATCTTGGGATGCCAATACATAGCTCCTTCCCTAAGCATAAATAGTCCACACGTTTGTAACACAAAGCTACCCTAGTGAGCCAAATGAAAATTAGACTTACTGATCCTGGAATTTGGCAAACAACCTCCCTAATAGCTTTTGCATATGGCCCAGCCACATCTATTGTGGCTTCCTCCAACACCAAAGCTCCTCCAATCTCAGACACATAGACCACTTTGTAATTTGGTGTGTGGAGATTAGTATTGAAGGTGAATTAAAAATAACTAAATTCATTGTTTGGTGCAATCTGGAAGAACAAGTGAGGGAACTCTAATTCATAGGCAATCCATTGCTTACCAGAATGCAAGAAGGCTTTAAATATGTACGAGCAAGTCTGTATGGCCAAAGTATGGCCTTCTCAATGCAAAAATGGGAAAATTTACAATATAGTGTTTCAGCAGTGTCAAATAGTTCTTTTAATTGTTGTGCAGCCCCCCCAATTCCTACGTAGGTCCTTGCACAAAATAATAAGGTGGTACTAAGTGCTAAGAAATAGATACATGTACTTCTTCCCAATGAACCATGCTATTGTGGACTCAACAATTAAAAGAGGCATATTGATACTTCCTTCAACAAGGAGCTATTAAATTATGTTGTCATAAAACACACCTTCATATTGTGTTTCTAAAAGGCCAAGCTGAAGGAGAACACTCTCCCAATCTTGCCAATGAGGCATGGCTTGGCTGAAAAGTACGTGCCGAAGAAATATTTCACCACCAGCTTAATGGAACTCAAGGTGTTTAGCAATAACATCTAGCTTCTCTTCGTCACTTGTGCTCTCCATGCCAAAGAAACCAAGAAGCTTGTGTTTCAACCACTGCACCTGTGAGAGAACTTCAACATCCCCTTATGCCCTCACCTCAAGAGTTGTGGTGGCATCCTGTAAGGCAGAAACCTCCTCATGCTGCAACATGATGAAGTTGGCACTATCCTGAGTGGTTAACTAAACAACTTCATTAAATGCATTGGTGGCATCAATCCATTGTTGTTAACACTCTAATAATCTATATGCAAACATTAGTTCAATTTCGAATGGCACAATTTTCAATTATCTTACTCTACTGTAGAAAAGCTGTTAAGCAACTAGGATAATTATGAAAATTTACTAAATATAGAATTGTTTTAGATTGTAAATTTAAAAATAATATCATCATGTTTAAAACAATCTCTATATTATGAGTAGATTTAGACACTTTCTATAAATATTCAATAGGACTAAAATGTTACTTCCCTCTAGAAAGGGGGGTGGAGGCACACCATGGCCTTTAAGACCTCTGCCGTCACTGTCATACACTACCATTCAGAAATTAGAAAATGAAGGAAATATTCATTTATGTTAATGCTTCTTACTAGCCGCATAGCCTGAAGCCAGTATCTCTGGTGACAAGGATGTCTTCAGAGATACTTGGTGTAGTTCATCCCCACTATCACCTTGTTCTTCGACTCCGGTGATATCCATGTTGTCTTGCGTGGGGAGAATTTCTTCCAGTAATGGAAGAATGTCTTTTTCATCCACATAGTTTTCTTCTTCATTATTCTCATCTTAGTTTGGTTCTTGTGTGGTTGGCCTTGGGAGAACTGGCTCTATCACCAAAGGATCATCATTTGCATTCAAGGTACTTGTAGTAGCTACAACTGCAAAGACCACAATATATATTTATGAGGAGGGAACTTAAAAAAAAAAAAAAACTTACATTCACAAACATCCTTCTCCTCGAGTGCTCAGGCCTGTTTTTGATAACTTAGCTAATGTTTGTCAGTAAGATATTCCATAACATTATATAGGTATATTACTGTTGCCCGGTTGCTATTAGCCTTGTTTGCTATAGCTCCCCAATAATGTTTGAGGAGGCCAGTAGCAAGGCTGGATAGAGCTGAGGCCAAATTTTGCAAACTCGACATGGGCCTCACCACCATTGGACTGCCTTGCACGCCGGACAAATGCTCCTGGGTTTGTCATGGATGAAGGTTGGATTCTTGATGCTTGGAATGATAGTAGAATCGCATGTTGGGCCGTGCCGGGTTGGAAAGGAATACTAGAGTATAAGCCACCCCGTATGAGACGCTCTAGGAGGTCCACTGCCAGCTCATCAAGTTCCGCCACCTTCACAAATGGCTCTCTTTTCCACCCATACAAGTCTACATGCCAAGTCTTCGGGATTGCAATCCACTTGGTGACAGGAACTGTGATGAACGGCCGGGGCACCAAGGGTGTCATAGACGACATCCCA